CTTGTTTTTTTGGATGTATTTTTAATTTGAGTTTAGCAATAAATATATTATTGTAAAATGCCAAATAAATTTTAATTTATAATTGTATTAATGTCATTAATCTATTTTTATTTATAAAATATTTATCTAAAATATATATCCYGYACCGCTTTTTAYATTTTCACCATTCACAMMTATAGACCGCACYRCATGTTGTTTTTTTCACCATTCATATGTTGTTCCGCACCGCTCAAACCGCAGTAACCGCACTAGTTCTGCATGGTGCGTTTCTTCTAACCGCACTGCACTAAAACTGCACCGCACCCCTAAACCGCTTGTCCCGCACCGCTCTAACCGCTGTTACCATTCGAAGCCATAGTTAACCCAAACATAAATAAATAATTTTTAAAGATGGTATTTTTGTAAAAATTGTAAAAATGTGACATTTTTAAAAATTTCTCAATTTTAAATTCGATACCTAGTATATTTATTGGGTTGTTGCTGTAATGAAATTTTTATATTTTTTGGACCTAAATGGAGCCATGATACACAAAAAGAGCAAATCATCGAATATTCTCTAAAGACCACGTGGAATATAGACGTAACGCCTTTATCAAAAATACACAAAATGAACTTATCTGTTGTTATCAGATGCAATTTCTCTAATAATAGTAATAATATATATACGTAACGTTTAGTATGGTTGTGGTCTATCTCCTTCTTGGTTTGAAAATGTAAATTTCGAGAAACAAACGAGTGAGAATTTATATATCCACGTCACCCACACGGCAACTATTTTCAGATATACTAAATAATAATATACAATATACAGTATAAGAAAAAGTGTTCTACTAGTATTATTTATTGCTTTCACCTTCGAAGAGAAGAAGATTGCTTTCCCTCTTATATATATATGCTCTTATCTCTCTTGTGCTATCAAACATGTCACACAATTATTTATAAACAAAAAAAAAAAAACAGAGTACAAAAACAGAGACAAATAATTTTATTTTCCTTAATTCTTTTGAAAATGGAACTACAATCTTCTTCTCTACCTCCTCACGTGATGCTCGTATCTTTTCCAGGGCAAGGCCACGTGAACCCACTTCTTCGTCTCGGCAAGCTCTTAGCTTCAAAGGGTTTACTCATCACTCTCGTCACCACAGAACAATGGGGCAAAAAGATGCGAACCGCTAACAAAATCCAAGACCGAGCCCTCAAACCGATCGGTAAAGGTTATCTCCGGTTCGAATTCTTCGACGATGGTCTCTCGGAAGACGACGAAGCCATCAGAAACGACTTCAACGTCCTCCGACCACACCTCGAGCTTGTCGGCAAACGAGAGATCAAAAACCTCGTGAAACGTTACAAGAAAGTGACTAATCAGCCCGTGACGTGTCTCATCAACAACCCTTTCGTCTCTTGGGTTTGCGATGTGGCGGAAGATCTTCAAATCCCTTGTGCCGTTCTCTGGGTCCAATCTTGCGCGTGCTTAGCCGCTTATTACTATTACCATCACAAACTAGTTGATTTCCCGACCAAAACAGAGCCAGAGATCAATGTTCAAATCCCTTGCATGCCACTCTTGAAGCACGACGAGATCCCTACTTTCATTCATCCTTCAACTCCGTATTCTGCTTTAGGAGAAGTGATCATAGATCAGATCAGACGGCTTCACAAGCCTTTCGCTGTTCTCATCGACACTTTCAACTCTTTAGAGCAAGAAATCATCGACCACATGTCAAATCTCTGTCTCCCTAACGTTATCAGACCGCTCGGACCGCTTTACAAAATGGCGAAAACCGTGACTAGTGATGGAGATATCTCTGAGCCAAGGGATCAATGCATGGAGTGGTTAGACTCCCAGCCTGTTTCCTCAGTAGTTTACATCTCGTTCGGGACAGTTGCTTACTTGAAACAAGAACAGATCGATGAGATCGCTTACGGTGTGTTAAACGCCGACGTTTCGTTCTTGTGGGTGATTAGGTTACAAGAATTGGGTGTAAACAAAGCGCGACATGTTTTGCCCGAAGAGGTTAAAAAGAAAGGGAAGATCGTTGAATGGTGTTCGCAAGAGAAAGTCTTGGCTCATCCTTCGGTGGTTTGTTTCGTGACTCATTGTGGTTGGAACTCGACTATGGAAGCTGTGTCTAGTGGAGTCCCAACGGTTTGTTTTCCTCAATGGGGAGATCAAGTCACCAACGCGGTTTATATGGTCGATGTTTTGAAGACGGGAGTGAGTCTTGGTCGTGGAGAGGCGGAGGATAGGGTGGTTCCGAGGGAAGAAGTGGCGGAGAAGATGAGAGAAATTACGATAGGAGAGAAAGCGAGTGAGCTCAAGAAGAACGCTTTGAAGTGGAAAGAGGAGGCGGAGGCGGCCGTGGCTCACGGTGGCTCGTCGGATAGGAATATTGAGGAGTTTGTGGAGAAGTTAGGTGCGAAACCTGTGGCGAAACAAAACGGAAGTCATAATCATCCTGTCTTGATTATTCAAGAGGTTTGAGTAACAAAAAAGTCATAAATGTTTGTTTTTTGGTTTTCTGTTATTTGTCTCTGCAAACTCGTTTAATTGTGTTTTGTATCTACCCTCCA